TAAAGCGCCTATTATTCTTAATAGTTTAAATTGTCAAAAAGTGTAAAATTAAACATAGCTCTGAGGTTTTTGAAATACCATCCAATCAGAGGGACTTGTAACTTGTGTTTGTGACCTTAATATTGTATTTATTGATTGTGGTGCTCGTATATTCGTGTTCTAGTTCTAACCTCAAAAAAATCAAAATCTTTAAGTTAATGTGTATTTTTAAATAGAGCTACAAAGTGATTCCAGCTGTTTCCACCTCTGAAACCTTTTTTATCTTGTAGAGAATTTAATTCTCATTGAGCTCGGTTAGTATAAAAGTGCACTTTTGCGCACTTTCTCTAAAATTTAGCTTTAAAGACCTCTACCTAATATGGTATATTTTCCTCATTTTTGTCTGGTAAATGCCAGTTTCGATGTTATCTTAAGAAAAACAGTGTGCAGTTATATTTCTTATTAAATAATGATTATTTTAAAATTATTTTACAACATCATTTCACTTACTTAACGTTGATATATAGGATTTTAGTATTTTTGTTAAGAATTATAGTGATCACAATACAAAAAATTACAATTTCACTAAAAAAATGGGAAATAAAAAATGCCAAAATTTTTTTTTTAAATCAATTTGGTATCTTAAAAAAAAATTCAAGAAAAAAAATTTTTTTTATTTTATTGACAAGAAAAAAAATTTTTTTTGTCTTAAAAAAAAGGCGGGACCACGCCCATCTTTTTTTAATTTACTTCCTTTAAATTTTATATACTTAATTCTAAAAACAAAACTTTTAAATGTTGCTTTGTTCTTAAGTTATTAATTAATGCCACAAAAAGTGAGCAAATTCCCCATAGTGCGCTGGCGGCAATTAGTTGGCACCAGCCCAGGGCCACGCCCCTCATAAATATATAAATCAAGGCGGTCACAGCCCACAACTAATTAGACGATGGCCAGGACAAACAGAAAGTAGCGATTTGTGTGTGTGTGCGTGGAAGGAGGTGAAAGGAAATGCGGGAAATTGGGAAAAACCGCGGGTGGGTAAGGTGGATGGGGGAGGAAAATTGAGAGCGGAAAATAGGGGAGTGCTGGAGAATTTAGGCTGAGTGGGTGTGCCCATTTAGGCTGGCCATCGACCAGCGCTTGTTTTGTTTTGCCCTGCCAGTTTTGGCTAAAATGTTTTCCTTTCATTGGCTAAATGTGGTTTTTGTGGGCGCCAAAACTAATTTTGATAGTTGATGGGGTATGTACGAACTATTATTTAAACGTCATAATAATTGAAACTAAAAATATAAATATTGTAAAAATTTTTCAAGGACTGTTGTTGTGCCTTTTAATTTTGTGTTAATTTTAAATAATTTTTAAGACTGTCCCAAGAGTATCTGTAAGTCGCCTCTCCCAATTGGTATATGATTAGATATATTCTGTTAAATTTGTTGTTGTTATTTTAAGACATTTAAATATAGCAACACTTTTTTGTTTGCCTCATCTGTTTGGCTGGCTATTTGTTGTCAAACCGAAATGCCGCCAAAAAACAATCCCATTCTTACTTTCCAAAAAATGTACCACAAAATAACAAAAACACGCGACATTCGCCAAATGCAGACACGTTGTGGTCATTAATCAAAAAAGATATAAATTTGGAACAAGTCCTATATATTGTTACATTTTTTAAGGTGGAATGGTGAAAAACACTAATTAATTAATTTAAATTGAGTCTTTAAAAACTCACTTAATGTTAACTCAGGCATTATATTTATAATTCATTTCTATTAAATTATAAGAATGTTATTTATGTTTTCTTAGTTTTAAAAGCTGCTAAGGTTCTTTAATATTCCAAAATGGCATTTTTTTGGCATATATATATTTTTTAAATTATTAAAACATTACTTGAGTTTATTTGATTTTAAAGGCTTCTAAGATTTCTTTTATTTCCCAAATTGGCTGATTTAAGTCACTTTGCTTATTTTCCAACAAGTTATATATTTTTTTTAAATTATTAAAACATTACTTGAGTTTATTTGATTTTAAAGGCTTTTAAGATTTCTTTTATTTCTTAAATTGGCGGATTTAAGTCACTTTGCTTATTTTCCAACAAGTTAAAGCCAAAGTAGCCTCTTGAAAATAAAAAGTATATATTATATTCGGTCTCTATTTAAAAAAAAGTCTTATGAATATTTTTTAGGTCATTAAAAAATCATTAATAAATATCTGAGAAGCTTATATGGAGTGCACTAATTTAAATCCCATTGCAGAAAATCATCTAAGGTTAATGCTACCGCTTTATCTCAAGGGCGAAACCCTACTTTTAATGCCAATAACCCACTCTGGAATTTCCCCCCTCACTTCCATATGCAAATGTGTGGGCAGCAGCAGCTGCGGCATTTTGCTTCCTTTATCGGACTAATTGAAAACGTGTTTCGAAACACAAAGCGGCAAAGAAAAGGCTGGATGACAATCGCAGTCACACGTCACGACTCATAAATGGAAAAATGGAAGGCAGAAAAGCGAGAGGAGCGTCATTTGGCATGTAAATTAGACTACGGCCAGCCTTGAAGTATGCTATGGAAATTGCACTTGAGTGCCGGACATGCGGCAAGTGTGTGTTGCATGTTGCTCGTTGCACGTTGCACGCTGCACGCTGCACGCTGCCAGTTGCCACTGGCTTCTGTTTTCAGTTCGCTGGCCGGTCATGTGTGAAAAATGGCAACTGTGTCAGCGCCCACACGCCCGCGTCAATTGCATTATTCAGAAACTGTGCGGCAAGAACAAAAGCCACTCGGCATGAACGGGAGCGAGAGATTGGGGCATGAATGAGTCAGACAGGGATGGACGGAGGCGGTGGGCGGTGGGGCGGGTGACCCTTAATTATGCAAAAGACGGCAACGACCTTGAAGCTGCCAATTGCAGCACACGTAATTAAAGACGAGCTACGAAACGCAACGAAACATAGAGGGTTCCTTTCGCTACAGTGGGTTTTTGGACGAAATGTATCTTAGGTTCCTGAAAAATTTAATCCTTATAAGGGTTCAAGCTATATCTTAAAAAAATATCTTAAGTCTAACCTATGACCTATAACCTGACCTGTTTTTAACCCTTTATTATTATTATACTTCTCTAAAAGGTTGTACGTTTATTTTAGAACCCGAATATTCTTAAGCCTATTTTATTATGAAACTTCTATAAAAGGATGTACCTTCATTTTCCTACCTTTTTTATATAAAATGACATATGATATTATAATATATGATATTATAATAATATGTAACTATAGTTAGTCTTAGACTAAACTTTTAAAAGATTTTTAACTTAGGATTTTGTATTCTATTGTATTTCTAGGGAACCTAATATTTTAATTTTTAACATGTTTAATTGTAGTCCAAGGTAGTACCCAACATTTGTTATTTTTAAATCCTAATGGCTGTAAGGTAATTAAAAAACTATTATATCACGGGCATGTCCATATACCACATTCGTAAACCTTGTAACCAAGCTAGTGCCCTACAATTACCTAAAATAAGTAAATTAAAAAAATCGACTGACCACTGTACGTGGCCCAAACCATTTCCCAGCCCTTTGGGACAACGTGTGAAATTTCCCATTGTGTGATCGATAAAATGGCCATGTGAGAGGGTAAAGGGCTGTGGGCGTTGGGTGGCAGACTGTGCGGTGTTGTCGCGTCCTTGAAGGCAAATTTACGACAAAATAAACAACTTGGCAGCGAAGGAGTCCGAGCCTGAAACCCGGTTCCTGCCGATAAGGATAAGGATACGGGCCAATAGCTTGGCGCGAAATTTTATGACACAGCAAAAGTTATCGACGGCAGCCAAAAGACAAATTGCCTATAAAATGACAAAGTCAATAAAAGTGGAAAAAAAAAGGGGGGGGGGGGGGGCAATGTGTGACCGAGTTACAGATACATAATCTTGGCTGAGATGCAGGCTACGTATGTATGTACATACGTAAGTGTGTCCTGCAAATCCTGTGTGCCACACATAAATTGAAATTTTCGCAAACGAAATTTGCGTGGAAAATGATGCGCTGAGCCCGAGCTTTTCAGTATTTGCGCAAATTCTTTGGCTTTGGCTAATCCCCAAACGAATGCTGGCATTCTTTGCATTGAGCTTTCCAACTGAAATTCGTTGGTTTTTTGCTAAACTTTGCCTATTTTCGTATCTCTACATCAGCACCGAAGGACAGCCCATAAAGGAGAGGAGCAAAACAGCACAGCATTTCCGATTGGCGAAGAACGTGGAAGAGTGCACCGGAAAAAAATGTGGTCAGAAATGTAAAAGATACAAAAATATTTAATATTAATACCCAAGATTTTATTAACTTCTTCATTTACTTTAAAATAAAAAGTTTCAATAACTTATAACTTTAAATTTAAAAAACAAATCATATCTGTTTTACATCTGTTCAATCAGATATGTAACGCAGATATATTAGGATGAACTTAAAAATATTTAGAGGTTTAAACGATATATCTATTTAGATCATTGGTATAATGGTTATGGCTCGTGTAACTATGAAGCTTGCATTTAAAAAAAAACATTTATTTGAAAAATTTTTAATTTTTTTAAATTTTTTGAGCCCTGAAAAGTAATTGAGGTGCATTCATAAATACATTCCTATGTACTATATGCTCAAAATAAAGTACCTACATATATCTAAAAATATTTCCGAAAAAAATTGCAAGTTCCAAAGCAATATAATAGATTGTACTATAAAACACTTTCAAAAAATAAATGCATTATTAATTTCCTAAGATTTAAATTTTAAAATCTATTAAAGATCTTCAAAAACCCATCCTTATAAATATTCTCCCTATCTAATTTATTCCAGTGCTTGCCAGCACTTTCTTTTGAACCATCACTCCTAGTGTTTCGCTCTTTTCGGGGTTGTTTATGTTTTGCTTCGCTCTTTCGCAGTGTTCCCCTATTTCTCCCATTTATCTCCTATCTTTTTGTGTTGAGGTAGGATGCAAAGGATGTCTGGAGCAAGGCTCCTAAAATGTACTCACCTTAGACGGGACATCCTGTTGAAAACCTGTGCCTTGCCATCGCTCCGTTTTCCAGTTTAGCGTTTGATTATTTTTAGTAATTATTTGTTGTTTTCTTTTTTGTTTTGTATAATATTTAATAACATGTAGTACATTTTTTCTTGAACACTTTGTCTTTATCACTTTGTTTGCTAACGCTTTGGCTGCAACAGGCAAGAACTGTAAAATATCTAGATGAATGTGGGCTTAAGATATATCTAACCAAAGTCGGCGGCCCTCAAAGAAACGCTTTCTCACTAATGAATCAATTAAATAATATTTTAATGCATGCATTTGGTGGTGTTTAGATTAGGTGGTTTTCTGTTTTCAGATAAGATAATTTTTGGGATTACAATTTGTGGCTTGCTGCCTTGAAATATTTTGTTTACCAAGTTTGGTAAATATCTTCACTTTTGCACTGTGTTAAACTAATTTTTATTTCCAATTTTTTGAATTTTCGGTAGCACTTTACTTGTTGGCTTTTCCGTGGGCTGCTGATTTTCTGCTTAGCCTTCAACACACATACAGCCGCAGGCGTTTTCACACAGATACACAGCACCCTCTCACAGACACATGTGCGCAGGTGTGTGCCTTGATTTTTCAATTATCCTTTGGCTCGTAATTTGCACAATTTAATTGAAATCACTTTTGGTATGGAATATTTTTAATTTTCCAATATTTTAATTTAGTGGGTATATAAACAAAAAAGCGTTTGGGGATGAACAAACTTTTCTTTTTGGCCAGCTGAAAATTGTGTTTGCTGGCCGCGTGTTGATGTGTGGGTGTGTGTGTGTTGGTGTTGTGTCTGCCTGTTGTGTAGGTGTAGGTGTGTGTGTGTGTGTGTGTGCTTCCACCGTTTCCAACAACAACAACCACTGAACGCGCTGCTGCTGCTGCCGCTGAATCTTTTCTTTTCCTTTCTCTTCGATGCGTGCGTAGGTGCGACGCGCTCACTGTCTAACTGGCAACTGTTTTTCCGCTTTTCCATCGCTTTTCCTTCTCAGCTGCTAACGCCCCGAGAGAACTCGGCCAGCGGAGAGGCCGCTTTTAGCTGGAAATGGAAATGGAAATGGCAACGGAATGGAATGGCGAGCAACAGGAAGAGCGAGCTTTCGCCAGCTGAAAGCTCTCCCCGAAACGCACATGGCGTTTGTTTATATTCGTGGCAGGTAAAAATAGCACTGCATATTTTTAGGCACCGCCAACAAGAGTTCCACACTGCGCATGCCCCAACTGCCGCTGGCAAAAGGCTGGTTAAACTAATTAATTTATCTAGTTGCTCACTAAAGTTGGGTAGTATATAGTTTTCAAGGGGAAAATTGGCAGTGCCTTAAAGTTATATTTAAAATGTGACTAAGATTTGTAGAAAATTTGTGTTCTAAAATTAATCACTTTAAAGTTGAAAATTTTATTTTAAATCCTATATAAGTTTACTTATAAATATATGTTAAAGTTGGTATAGAGAATAAATTGATTAAGCCGTAAGAGAGAATGGGTTTAATGTTCGCTTTATAAAAATAAATTAATCATTTGTATTTCTTTATATTAAAATAAAGTATTTTATTCAGTGTAAATCTAACAAACATAAACTTGAACTTTAATTAAATGCCATTCTGAGCACCAAATAAAATATAAATTTAAAATTGTAATTTTTATAAACCCCTTTTTATTGGAAATTAAAAAAAAATAGATTAACTAGATATTACAATATAGTGTCTCATATGAAACTGTATTAGAGTTTCAAATTCTTATTAAAAAACTTTGATTCAAAACAAGAAAATACTCATATAAAGAGTCTTTTAATTGTATATATTTCGATTCCTTTCTGCTTTATATTTTATAAATTTACCATTGAAATGAAAGCTTGTTAAATTTCACCTCGGAGTGCCATGTGTCCTAGTCCTTGATCATTAGTCCTCTCCAGTACTTGGTTCTGCATCGTTGACGTTAAAAGAGAGCTCAGCTACTTGTTGTTGATCAGCCAATGGATGTCGTAGAGGATACAGTTGGTCCATGTGCTCTATAAAAGGACGAATGCCCTCCGGATTCTTCATGTATTTGGCCACACTAAGGATGATATGACGGTAGATCTGGTGATCCCTGTAGGCAGCATTTGGTCGCCGCTTTTGAGGGGGTCTTAAAAATGTTTAAAATATAAACATATAGAAACTAAAATAAAATTGTTAGTGATGATATACCGCTCTTGAGCTCTTTGAATAACCCGTCGACGTCTTACAGTCTCTGTTCTGCGGCATCGCTCACAATATGCAAAATATGCACACACGAGGATTACCAATGCAGACAGGGTGTAGATGAGCCAACTCCAGCTGAGGACACTGTATGGTATATAGGATATATAGATGGTAATCTGAACAACTTAACCGAACCCCTCTTACGTCACAAATGTTGCATTCAAATCCTTCCAGATGGGCGAGATCTGCTCGAGCTGGTTCTTCTTCACCTCGCTCCTCCAGAATGCGAATTGATGCATTATTGGCCTGGTTGTCTGATGGCTAACTACCTTCTGAAGTCCGGAAAAAATTTTGAAAATGACTAAAAGGTGTGTGCCTGTCAAGGTTTGTTATTGTGTCTTTCTAATTTTTCAAAAACCTTTGAGTTTTGAGGGAAAGCAGGGTTCGTTTTTAACATGAACAGGCTTACCTTCAAAAATATTTATATGAAAATATGAATAAAATCTTGCTATATTAAAGCATCTTTTAAGACTATTTTCTCTAACCGAAACCAAAAGATTATTATCAAAGTGGCTTTTATCTGATTTAAGTTAAGTATTCATATTCTGTATATTTTCTCTACAAGGTTTTTGTTTAATTACTAAAATTGGTAGATACCTTTCACACTTAATTAAGAATGGAATTTATTAGAAAATAACAATTATATTATTCCCTCATTAACACAAAGCATGATCAATGCATCATCATCATCTGCTTATGCTGCTTATCCTTAACAACCTGGAAGTTACGGCTTAATAAGGCCTCAAGGTTTTCAATCGTCGAACACTCTACGATCGATTGCCCGGCCGGATCATCATTTGACTATTTCAACTTAGCCAGTTTTGCGATTTTCGCTTTTGTCTACAAGTGGCAATTTGCAATGGCAACTCGTGCGCTTCCGTCAACAATCGTTTCGGAAAAGCGTGATCATATAAATTATGGGGTCGGGGAATGCTGACAGTGTCAAAAGAACATTTCAGAGAATTTGTTGGAAAATTTGCCTGGTGCTTGACACATTCGCTTCGGATTTATGGCCATGTCTCTCGGTTGCAGTTTGAATTCCCCAATGTTGCCCCTTTGTCTTCGCATTTCCCCCACCAAGTGACACTGCATACTGCCCCAAATTGAGGCACGATCGTATAGGATTGCTGGTCAAGCGACCCCACCCCGTGTTCGAATTCAAACCCCAATCGAAAACCCAAGCCCAGATGGAAGGCATGGATAATACCTGACAGGGCACGCGAAAAGTTACGATTTTACGGCAAAGTATCAAGGAAATGTGCTGACACATCGATAACATCAAAATGACTAAATTTTATTCTGAGTTGAGTTCGATCCTGATAATTATATTACAAATAATATTACAATTTCTACTATTTTCGATGAAGGTACATTTTTTTGGAATTTCTACTACTATATCTTTATACTTTAAACTTTTAAAGCTATCTTTAAAGACTTAATAATAATAGTACTTATGTTTTATGTACCTTGTTTGTTTTTTTACACTCATCGTTAAACATTTTTATCTTAAGTTTTTATTGTTGATATTTTTGTTTTATTGCCCATTATGAAAATAGGTACCACATAAATTAGCAAATGTTATTTTATTATAGCAAATAAATGTATTGCCAAATAATCTTTATAATGTTTAAGCTTTTGAATGTATAACTTTGTATTTAAAATAGTATGGTTCTTAAATTCTGTGCATATTTAATGCCTGGCTCGTTTTTTACCTCATTAAACTATATTGTCTATAACAAAATCAATTCCATGCTGCCTCCCACCTATACCACTAAAAAAGAAGACACATTTTGGCTGCATGTTGACGCTCATCAAACGGCTGTCAAATTACCCAAACACGCCATGAAAACTCTCAAATTCGGAGCTGCAGCAACTGGGGAAAATGATCGTGATAATGACAATGACGGCGATGATGACGGGGCAACCCACACGAAATGCTAATGAATTGTTATCAGTTAATTGTCTGAGCGGGGTACCTGGCTTTGCTATCAGCTTTTATGCTTTATTCGAATTCGATTTGGGAAGACGGCGTGGGTGTTCCCCAAAAAACCCAGTGGCAACTAATAGCCCAATAAATTGCGATGGCCGGCGGAGAGGAAACCCAAGAAACACACATAATAATAAAAGAAGACCGTTCCTTTGTGCAGCTAAGCGAAACTGTCAATGGCTGGCACATTGTTCGATTTATTACCATTCCCCTGGGAATGCCAGGGAATATGCAACCAGTTTATGGGATACCGAAAGACAGAGCTGAATGCTGGATGTTTCACTGCGCAGGCGCAAATCCTTTTGACATGTCCAATGTGCTCAGCGTTTAGACAGTGGGCAGCTATTCCATTGCCAATGGCTAATAGTATATGGCAATGCACTGGGAGAAAAGCTGAGAGAGTTGGTAAATTTTTAATAACAAATTTTAGAGTTATAGAAATATCGTTAAAAAAAGGTTAAATCTTTTGCATTTTCTTTTAAAAGTAAGCAAATTTCAAAATTGACAAAATTAAACATTGTGATGTTTTCATTTTTAATAAAAATGTTAGTTTAATAAAAACTACCAACGCTTCTAGTATAATTTTTTTATTAACAAAATTGTGATTTAATTATACCAAGTTAGTATTTAGGTAAATAAACTAAATATTAAACTTGACTCCATTCCAGAATTTTAAAATAATAATAACCTTTATTCATATGGTACGATAACGGAAAATAAAAATCTTTGATATTATTATTTTTATTAAATATACAAATTCCTTTCGACTGCTTTGATCCTAAGTATTTCACAGTAATATAATAAAGGTTCTACCTGTCCAAAACTAAGCGTGACTTATGCCATCCCATCCAAATAGATCTAGACCGAATCGTGTTTTTCGAGTGTGGTTGACAGTAGCACTCTTATGATGACAACGACAGATCCAGCACCCGATATGGACTGAAGGGCTGGAAACGAGTTCTCCGACGCTCCTCCATGTGAAAGATCAGCGAGCCGTGGACTAAACTGGCTGCCCGGCAGCGGCGGGTAAATATTTAAGTTAACAACTTGCCACCAACCGGAGAAGAAGCAACAAAAGCAGCATTGGCTGCAAGAACAACAACGGCGGACCATAAAAAGCATAAACCGCAAACTCCAAATAGTTTGGACGGTACGATACGATACGAGGTGAGAGGTGAGTGGGGGCGCGGCGATCCCATATAAACAAAACAGCTGTAACGCACTCAAAAAGCCAGCCAACGACCAGGCGAGGGCATACCCATGTGCACATATACCTGCCCACTGTACGGCCCACCGCCCACCACCCACTTCCTCCCAGAGTTCTTCCGCCTGGGGATCTGGGATCTGGGATCTGTTGCATCGAACAAAGGAAGCCCCGTCGGACCAATTTCGTATGAGCGAACCAGCGAATGTGCACCCAACATGGGCTTCGGCTGGTCTGACAGGGAAGAGCAGATGGCTTTTTCTAGCTAGATATATAAAGAAATCCAGGTTCATATCAAAATTGATCATATTATAAAAAAAAAGTTTTGGATGGGTTTACCATAGTTTCGAGCGGTCTTAAGTTAGTTTATACTCCAGTTATACTATAATTTATTTGTCCTTAAAATTTAATTAGTTTTATCCCCCTTTCCCCTTGCTAAAAAATGATTATAGGTTTCCGGATAGGGGTTCAATTCACATAGTTTAATATATTTTTTATTCGGTCGAAATAATCAAAGTTACAAGTAAGACATATTGTTACTGCATAAAGGGAGTAAGTTTTTTCAAAATCAGTTAATAAAAAAAATTGAAATCTTTTTGATTTCTGAACAAAAGTTTAGAAAAAAAATATTTTCTTAGTTTGTAAGTGAATGTAGATTATCCTAACATAACAAATTATACAAGTAAAAGTATTGTAAATATAGCAACTCCATTTCTTTTCCTGGAATCTTTTATGTTAACATAATATATTTTTTTTAAGTATTTGTTTACGGAAATTAAAATAAAGGAATCAATACCTCCATTTTAAACATCAAACAGGTAAATATACAATAATGTGTGTTAATGATTTATGAAATAATCTGCAATTTATGTTATACAACACTCAAAAAATAAATATTTACTGTATTCAAGCAATAAATATTTTTTTTCGGGGAATCAGTGCCTTATGATAATGATTTTCAGCACCATTTACTGACAGCACTGCCGCACAGCGCTGCTGATCGGCGATCGTTAACTGGACTTTCGGTTTCGGCTGTGCATTTTCAGTTCGTCTCGGGACTTCTAAGCGATCGGTTTGGATTTCGTTAGCTCCGCCGCGTCAGCTGGAAATTCGTATCTCAAAGATCGCTGCCAGCTTGTTCGTTCGTTTTTGGATTGGCATACGGAAGCGGCTAACGCAGAATCCGGAAAAATCACAAGAGGCACAATATTCCGCCGTAAATTTTAAAAATATATATTTTAAGTGCCCCATTCACGGTCTGGCGTATAATTTATTGCAGAGAAACAAGCAAATGCCGCGTATCTGCTTAATGTCAGCGCGAAATCTCAATTCAATTAATTGTTTGTGATTGCAAATTTGGCATAATTGTGTTTTGATTTATTTGTGTAAATCGGAGGCATTGTTAAATAAGGCCCTAAAATCCGTAAACTGTATTGAACTCGCAGGTCAGTTGAAAATTGTTCGCTGTGTGCAAGTCGCATGCAAATATGGTTAATTAATTGCAATTATTTATGATTTGAATGTGTGTCAAGCGACGCGCGACATTTCCTAGTGCATTAATCTTGTTCAAAATCGCATAACCGATCCTGTCTAGGAGTCACATGTCACTTATGGACGTAATTTGCATTTTACGGTGCGGCTAACTAAGTTGTCTGCCAAGTGTCTTTCATTTATGTGCCTTAACTGCTAAACAATGCCATAAATGGATTAAGAATTAATTATCGTGTGAACTTCAAGACAATGTCGTTCCAAAGATCTTGTCAATAATTCTAAGTACATTTTAATGTATGCTTTATGACCTTTGTGACCATGTAGCTCATTTGTATAAGATCATTTCTATCTGATAAAATATTTTCAGACTCTTTTGTTTTGAACCACATTTTTTATTGAAGATTTTTTCATCTTGTACAAAATTAAGTATTTTAAAATCGTTTCTTTCTCCCACTTTCATCAGAAAACTTTAAAAATATTTTTTGTTTTGATTAGCATTATATATTTTGGTTTCATATTTCAAGTTTTAAAATATATTGAAAATACTTGTATTTTTTCAAATATTTAATAGTTTGTAATTTTGTGACCACAGAAACCTTACTTATCCATAGAAAACCTCATTTCTTTTAAATTATTTGTATTAATTATTTATTCATTTTAATCAATTTAAACTCTTTTCTTCTCTTTGACATCTGTTAAAGCTATCACTTTTATTTAAATTTAAATGAATTCTTACCCGACATAGAGCATACATTTTGGTGCACTAGCCCATTTTTGTGTCAACGCATTGGTGAAAATGTAAATTAACTGACGTTATCGCCATCACAAATTTGTTTAAATAATGTGACAAAAGCGGAAAATGCAACCTATTCGAATAGTTTTATTAATACTTTCCATTGTTTAAACGAGCTTGGGAAATAATTATGCAAGGCCCAAATTTGTTTCGTATTTTTTCCGTTTGCCAGTGAATTCTGCATTTTGACACATATCGCTCGGCAGGTGAGCAATCAAAATTTGTAGTTTGGGGCACGATCCGTTGAAAAAGCGATCGTGCCTTCCTGCATATCATAATTTCTTTATAAATATTATTATGGAAAACGTCACCGAAAGGGGGGAAGTTTGTTGGTGGCGCATGTCCATGGGTTTCTTGTTTTTCCTTCGCTTTGCTAATTAACCAAAGTCATTTGCATAAATTACGCAGCTAACGGTAACTGGGTTTATGTCTTTTTGGTCTGGCTTAGTCTGGGGTCACCATGAACCATGGGTATATAAGTACGGGGGGATATGGGCAATGGGTCTACGGGGCATGTGTGGGCGTGGCCTCCGCCCCCTTGCAGCTGCAAAGCAATTAGCAAAAGACTGGACATGCCAGCAAATTGAGCTCTGCTGTTGAAGTTTTTCCTTTTGCCTTTTTTGGGTCGCTGCAATTGTTATTGAAATGAGTTTTCGCATTTGAAGTTGAACTTGCTGGCGTTTTGTGCAGTGAACAAAACGATATATCTTGGAGCTGTCGATTACGAATGATTAATGGAAACCCAATCGAAAATAAACCTTTAAAATAGGAAATTATTTGTAAATAGAATATCACAAAATGTACTTAGCAACATTGTAAAACGTATTAATATTAATTTAAATACTTTTGTATTTGGTACCTAAAATACAATATATTTTTTTAAATTAAAACTTTTTTATCATATTTTTTAAGGCATTAAAATAACATTACTTATCAGCTTAAAATCAACACATTAAAATTTTAAATTAATGTTCTGTATATTTTTTGATCCCATTTAAATATATTTTTTCTGTGTGTAGAAAAGGGGGTTGGAGAGGCATAGGACTTTTGAGATGTCAAACTGTCGATGTTGAACATGCTGCATAGTTTTCGCTTTTCATCTCTGACTTTGTTAGGGAAGAAACGCAGCCACAAAGGCCAACAACATTCCTTTAATTGGATTGAAAGTAAAGTGTAAACAAAAATATGCGATCGAGCGACCCCTGGCCCCACTTAGCCCCCCCTGACCACTCCACCCCACCCCAACCCATAATCCCAGTTTGTTGATCTTGTTAAAAAATAAAAACATTAAAAAAGAAAGAGAGATACGAGATACAAACTCCGGGCAAATGTGTCATGATTTTGCATATTAAAGACAGCGAAACAATATCAACAGATGTGAAATATACTATCAAATGGTCAGGGAGGCACACTACTAAATATTTTGTTGGCCGTGATTTTTCTACCCATCAGGGCTGTCTTGGCTGTCGTGGGAAAAACGAAGACGAACGAAGTCAGCCAGAACAATAAACAAAGCGGGTGGAATGAATGAAATGTGTAACCCAACGGCAAATATTTGGCAATCTGTCAGATAAGATATATTCGATAATCCCCCGACACGTTCGGTTATTGAACCCAAAAGCAGCGTGAAAATTATACCACCAGTGGGTGGCTTTCCCGTCAATTTTCCCCCTATTCTTTTCACACAATTCTCCGGGTGCGATCGTACATCCAGTGCAGTTTTCCCCGAGATCTAAGGCTTTTTGCGGCCCATCGCGGCTGTCCAGATAATGTTAATAAAAGCAGCGCTGAAAAGCGCTTGCAACAGCTACAAATTGGAAAATTCGATTTTCCTTGAGCCCCCATAAAAGAGAAAAAAACGCAGAGTTACCAAACAATTTCTCGTTGTTCGGGATTCTCCTCGGCAGGCGGCGTTAAGCTCTAAGTTTATCTCTTTATAAGAACTTGAGGAGTGGCCCCGATTACACAAAACATAAATAAAAACGCATGCTAAAGTGGCAGCTGCTTGGAATTGCACAAAAAAATGTTTATAAAGTGGAGAGAGCGAGGGGCTGAGGCATTTAATTAACATTTAAATGGCTGGCCGTCGGAAGAGTTGTTAATTTAAATTACATTCTCGAAAAATGCCCAAATAAAATCGAAAGATGATCAATTTACACGCCATTGAACACGAGTAAACAGATTCGAGAACCGAAGAATATCCGAAAATAACGTAGAAATTTCCATAAAGTCTGCGTTAATTAAGTAATTGGTGCAGTTTTTAGCAACGCCACCGGGTATGATTAATTTTGAAATGCAAAAACTTGTATTAGTAATGCGAAATGGTTTCTTTCTCCCCTATTTCTATCAGATTCTTCCCCAACAAATATTTCTCATGGCAACCAAAACATGTCAAGTAAAAGAGACATAAGCAATGTTTGTGGGGAGCTCGTAGAGCACGAAAATAAGATGAACTCGATAAGGTGGAATTGGGAATTATTATATAGAACTTAAAGATAATTACGAAATTCCAGAGTGATGACTGAAATATATTTTTAAGGAATTAGTTTATTAATTGTCGTTATAATAATATTTCCAGCAATTACAAATGGCTTTTCGTTATGTTTATATTTTGTTTAATCATTGGTAAAGTTGGAATCTAAATATGTTTTTAGTATTAACTAATATTATTTTTGTAAAAATTAATTTTCTAGTTATTATCAAAACTGAAATTTTATTTTATACATTTTTGAGTCAAGCAATACAATTTCATTTATAATTAAATGTGATAAAATATTTGTTGTTAAAAAAATAAGCAGCGGAGTAATATTATCATTTTATATTGTTATTTTACTTAAAAAAAATAGATTAAATCTGCTAATAAAATAAACTTTATATGTTTATCTTAGATTTAGGATTACTCTGTTTAGAACTGAATCACAGTTCTTGTACAGAAGCTTTAGATAAGATTACCTCATATCTAGACCTCACCGTATCCGACATTCTACTAAATTTCCTGATGTATGTTTTCGTCTACGCATCTCTGGTGATTCATTGGCCATAGCTCATGTCTGGGTCAGATACACCAGATTCAGATATATATATATAGTTTCAGCTACGGATACTCCCACCGAATCCGTGTCTTGTCAGGGTGACAAAAATAAAGTTTGACACTTTCCCGCCGAGGAGGCTGACGCGCCCCTAGTACCATTTAGCCTGTGATTTATGTGCTGGGAAAACGAATCAATAACATTTAACACACACTAATTTCAAGACCCACAGCATACAGAAACGGAAAAAATTGATGGCAGCCTTTGCATAAATTCCAGCTAACTGCAACCGCGACCCGAAAGTTGATTTATAAGTAATTTTTAGGCAATGCCAGCTATTAATTAGAGATATATCAAAATACTGCCGGCGATCGGTTGTGGGCTGGCTTTGGGATTATATATCTGGGGATCCATCTCCATCTCCACCTTTTCGGGTTCAGACAAACGCCGCGCGATTTGATTTATCTCCGGACTGACCGTTTTTGGCAATCCAGCAAGGTCAAGGCGGGTTGTCAACGCGGCTTAGATTTCAACGGAATCAAGTTGTTTTTCCCTCCACTTGGATTTCTTCATCTCATTGGCTTATTTCTATTTTTTTTCCTTTGGTTATTTTATTGTTTGTCTGCAGTCTCGATTAAGTTTTGTGGCGGCGCCCGAAAAACCTTTTACCATTTTTATTTTCGTTTTTGCATTTCTCGGAACTTATGCAGAGTTATGACAACTGGTTTGGGGGTTTGGTCTGACATTTGGCAGTCATTTGAGTGGCAGTCGAGCCCAAGGGGTTCCAGGGTTTCACTTACTAAGCGGCTTAAACCACACCTGATTGATACTGCCCCAGCTCTTTTCCTTTTCCATAAGATGCATCTCACAAAAAAGGGTCAGACTTGCCACATTTTCCTTACATACTTGCTTACAATTTCTCAATTTGGCTTTGGCTTTAAGTTTTTTAATTAGCGCAGCAAATGTTAATAACGACTGTCATTTAAACCCATCAAAAGTTCTTCGAAGTTCAATTGTATGTTGCATGCACTGGGAGAAAAAAGGTTCTTGATTTAAAAACCAATATTGTAAATTGCAATTTTAAAATAATTATTGTATTTAATTTTGGTACACTAAAAGGTATCTTAATATAATGATGTATAATATACTTCTAGATCAACATTTAACATTTAATTTCCAAACAACCCGGAGGATGACTCACGGATCTACAATTAATTTTTCACATCGTTTTTCAAAGTGTAAAATTTTTTGAAATTAAAAAACAAGAACGGACATATGTTAGATCCACTTTAATGAGCAGGGCGTTGGGAATCATAAATTCAAGTGGAAGCAATGAATATTAATATGGTCACTGAGCAGTTGCAATAATGGATTTTTTATCGTTTTTTGCTGGTGGTGCGGGTACTGTGGGTGTTGTGGGGCAGGGTGGTGCACTCCATTGACAAATGAGATGCCACTGCCTCAGAGTGGTTCACGCAGTGCGTGAAATTTTGAAAAATGCCCCTGAACAAAGCCAAAATTCATGCACTTTTCGCTTCCGGCTTCGGTTCACTCCACTTTGCTTCACATTTTGGCATCTCCTGCCGGTTAACTGTTAACGCGTTTACTTTTCTTTTTGTTTAACGTGTGATTTATCAGCCAAACAAGAAAAACAGAGAATAATAATCACAGTCACCGTCATCATCGTCGGCTCTGTTGAACAAATTGCCTTTGTCTCTGGGCTAAAAAAATTCGAGCCTTACTTGAAAGTGATGACCACTCGACCATGAAAACCGTTGGCCTCATCAAGAACTGGGTTCGAAAAAGTATATTACTTCCTTAAAATATTTTTTGGATCATTCTGAAAACTGAAAAATATGTAATTTACGTACTCATTTTTTTAAAATAATTGCAGTAGTCCAAAAACATTTATTTTTACAATGGGATATGATTACATAATACAAATTCTACAAATGTTCTTGAATGTATTTTTTAATAATCTGAATTATACTTTTTGTTTAATACGATTTACATTTCATTTTACACTTTAAATTCTAAGACATTAAATTAAAATAATTAATTAAATTTATAAAGGAATAATTTTCTTGTATAAATATATAATGTTTTTAAAATTGTGCTTTGAAATAAATTATTTAATCACATACCTTAATCCCAGACCTTTAATAATTTATGATTTATTTAATATATTTTATATTGGCTTAACAATATTAATTTCAATATCTATTCAGCACATTTAGGTGCTGAATCAAGATGAAATCCTAACTAATTCTACCTCAAAGTATACCTCAGTTCGTGCTGATCCTGTGGCACAGTCTAGAATCCAGAGTCTGGTTAATACATTTATGCTACCTTTCAATTACCCGATGATGGACAGACAGGTCGGCGCTCCGCCAGACAAAGGAATCGGTAATGAGGGCCGATGGATCCGTCTTGTTGCTTACATTAAGTTCAGCGAGGCGTGCAAAATGCCTAGGAATTTGAATGAGAACGAAAGTGAATGTAATTGAACGGAGGATGGGGTTTTCGCAATGAAGAAACAAGTTCAGCACTTAATAAAGTCACGCTTATTTTCTTTTTGTTTTTTACTTACAGTTCCATCAACTAAAATTGAGATAGCGGGACATCAACATCGCCATCAAAATGCCAGAAGTGATTTACTCCAGCCTTTTTCTGCTGCTCTGCTGCACAATCCTGCTGCTGGGGACGGCGGTATCAGGTGTTCAGAATGCTAGTTTTAATGGCACTAGTCCTCACCAGAATCGAACCCACCGAGGACATGCTCACAGCCATCGAACGCGACATCAGGGAAGTTATTTACCAACCCATCATCGGCAGCAGCGGAGATTACAGTCTCTGAATCAAGCCAAATCGGATGTGGAACTGCTGCCGGGGGTCTCCATGCAAGAGGTCACCAGATTACGAAGAATTCAGCCACATAATCCCTATAATAAAGTGCAGACACGACGCCTCCACCAATCACGACCGCCCACCGAATGGGATTATAATACTTATAATATCCTGACCAACACGTTTGGACCTCCCCCACCGCCGATGCCTTCGTCACCGCGTTTGGGGAAGGGTGAGGACAACACCCAGGATGTGGAGTTCATTGGGATGCGTGAGGGGGGCAGGGGTTACTCCTTTGTGCCATCGGTCACGGTCACCACAGCACCTCCACCGAATCTTAATAGGAGATCTGCGAATCCGGGTTTCGGCAGCAGCATGGGCACCATTCCACCGCTTGTTCCGGCCAGAAGGGGCTATAGCTATACGACCACAACCACTGCTCCGGTGACCACCATCACCACCGAGAATCCATTCGAGACGAACACCATTGGAAGGAGCTATCCCACAGATCCCAAGGAAATGGAAAGGTAAGGGGATTTTATTTATATTTATGGCCGATTTCTAGGCCATTAAGATAAAATATATCAAATATTTCGTATACTAATCAACAGCAAAAATGGAGGGTATTAGCGCGCAGCCTAAGCAGTAAGAGATAGAGCCGCCAAATTTTTCATTTCACAGGGGGTCAAGGTGCGCAATAATATCTGATATGTCCCCCAGTGGTAACAATCAGGTTCTCCTTCTCATTTTCTACACTTCTAGATTTCATAACCTGAGTTATTAGAGTCCAATTCTGACGTGAGATACCTCTATGAGTTTGTGGTTGAATTCTCTAATATTCTACATTTAAAGTTTACTTTTTGAAGAGGGTTAAAATTTCAACCCATTTTCATGTTCGATTTTTTCGTAATTCCAATGACGTTCCGAATGGGGACCCAAAACTGCTCTTCCAGATTCCATAACTTTAGTTATTGAAGTCCGATTTTTACGTGTGATACCTCTATGAGTTTGTGGTTGAATTCTCTAATATTCTGCATTAAAATTTTTCTTTTTGGCAGGGGTCAAAATTTTAACCCATTTTCATGTTCGATTTTTTCGTAATTCCAATGGCGTTCCGAATGGGGACTCAAAACTGCACTTCCAGATTGCGTAACTTTAGTTATTGGAGTCCGATTTTGACGTGTTATACATCTATGAGTTTGTGGTTGAATTCTCTAATATACTACATTTCAAGTTTACTTTTTGACGAGGGTCAAAATTTTAACCCATTTTCATGTTCGATTTTTTCGTAATTCCAATGGCGTTCCGAATGGGGACCCAAAACTGCACTTCCAGATTCCATAACTTTAGTTATTGGTGTCCGATTTTGACGTGTTATACCTCTATGAGTTTGTGGTTGAATTCTCTAATATACTACATTTCAAGTTTACTTTTTGACGAGGGTCAAAATTTTAACCCATTTTCATGTTCGATTTTTTCGTAATTCCAATGTCGTTCCGAATGATGACCCAAAACTGCACTTCCAGATTCCATAACTTAAGTTATTAGAGTCAAATTTTGACGTGTGATACCTCTATGAGTTTGAAGTTCAATTCCCTAATATTCTACATTCAATGTTTACCTTTTGACGAGGGTCAAAATTTCAACCCATTTTCATGTTCGATTTTTTCGGAACTCCAATGGCGTTCCGAATGGGGACCCAAAACTGCACTTCCAGATTCCATAACTTTAGTTGTTGCAGTCCGATTTTGACGTGTGATACCTCTATGAGTTTGTGGTTGAATTCTCTAATATTCCACATTAAAAGTTTTCTTTTTGGCGAGGGTCAAAATTTTAACCCATTTTCATGTTCGATTTTTTCGTAGTTCCAATGGCGTTCCGAATGGGGACCCAAAACTGCACCTCTAAATTCCATAACTTAAGTTATTGGAGTCCGATCTTGACGCGTGATACCTCTATGAGTTTGTAGTTGAATTCTCAAATATTCTACATTAAAAGTTTACTTTTTGATGAGGGTCAAAATTTTACCCAATTTTCATGTTCGATTTTTTCGTAATTCCAATGGCGTTCCGAATCGGGACCCAAAACTGCACTTCCAGATTCCATAACTTTAGTTATTGCAGTCCGATTTTGACGAGTTATACCTCTATGAGATTGTGGTTGAATTCTCTAATATTCCACATTAAAAGTTAACTTTTTGACGAGGGTCAAAATTTCAACCCATTTTCATGTTCGATTTTTTCGTAACTCCAATGGCGTTCCGAATGGGGACCCAAAACTGCACCTCTAAATTCCATAACTTAAGTTATTAGAGTCCCATCTTGACGTGTGATACCTCTATGAGTTTGTAGTTGAATTCTCTAATATTCTACATTAAAAGTTTACTTTTTGACGAGGGTTAAAATTTTACCCCATTTTCATGTTCGATTTTTTCGTAACTCCAATGGCGTTCCGAATGGGGACCCACAACTGCACTTCCAGATTCCATAACTTTAGTTAATAAAGTCCGATTTTGACGTGTGATACCTCTATGAGTTTGTGGTTGAATTCTCTAATATTCCACATTAAATGTTTTCTTTTTGGCGAGGGTCAAAATTTTTACCCATTTTCATGTTCGATTTTTTCGTAGTTCCAATGGCGTTACGAATGGGGACCCAAAACTGCACTTCCAGATTCCATAACTTTAGTTATTGGAGTCCGATTTTGACGAGTTATACCTCTATGAGTTTGTGGTTCAATTCTTTAATATTCTACATTAAAAGTTTACTTTTTGACGACGGTCAAAATTTCAACCCATTTTCATGTTCGAGTTTTTTGGAATTCCAATGGCGTTCCGAATGGGGACCCGAAATTGCACTTCCAGATTCCATAACTTTAGTTGTTGCAGTCCGATTTTGACGTGTGATACCTCTATGAGTTTGTGGTTGAAATCTCTAATATTCCACATTAAAAGTTTTCTTTTTGGCGAGGGTCAAAATTTTTAGCCATTTTCATGTTCGATTTTTTCGTAGTTCCAATGGCGTTCCGAATGGGGACCCAAAACTGCACTTCCAGATTCCACAACTTTAGTTGTTGGAGTCCGATTTTGACATGTGATACCTCTATGAGTTTGTGGTTGAATTCTCTAATATTCCACATTAAAAGTTTTCTTTTTGGCGAGGGTCAAAATTTTTACCCATTTTCATGTTCGATTTTTTCGTAATTCCGATGGCGGTGCGAATGGGGACCCAAAACTCAACTTCCAGATTCTATAACTTTACTTATTGCAGTCCGATTTTGAAGTATGATACCTCTATGAGTTTTTGGTTGAATTCCCTAGTATTCTACATTTAAAGTTTATTTTTTGGCGAGGGTCAAAATTTTAACCCACTTTCATGTTCTATTTTTTCGTCATTCCAATGGCGTTCCGAATGGGGACTCAAAACTGCACTTCCAGATTCTATAACTTTAGTTGTTGCAGTCCGATTTTGACGTATGATACCTCTATGAGTTTGTGGTTGAATTCTCTAATATTCCACATTAAAAGTTTTCTTTTTTGCGAGGGTCAAAACTTTAACCCATTTTCATGTTCGATTTTTTCGAAATTCCAATGGACATTTTCATGATTGATTTCAACTTATTTCGTTACTGCACTTCCCGCTTGGGACGCAGGATTCCTCTAAGAGTTTCTGATTAAATTCTCTAATTGTCTACATTAAAAATGTTCTTTTAAGCAACGGTCAAATGGTATATGGTATATTACCGAAACAACTTATTTTACCTGTAAACTTTTATCACTCACAACCAAACATTAACCGAAGCAATTAAATGTCTTAGGATTGTCAATTTTTCATCTAGATTAACCAATTAAACGGCACCTAAACCCATGCCAAATCCAATCGATAGCCTTGCCATGGTTCATTGAGCCGTGGAGAAGAGTAATGATTGGATGTTCCACCCCTAGGGGATAGATGAAGGCGACCATGGAGCGATCTTTTGGGCGGGGCGTGTCCGATTGCATTTATCAGTCTCAGTTCGGCGGTTCAAGGTTGATGCAGCCATAAATATGACCGAAAAGCCGGGCCAGTCCAGTCTTACCTTTGGCCCAAGATCTCCGGCTTATCGCATCGCACATAAATTATTTAAATATTATGACATGCCCGGTGTGTTTTGTTTTCAATGTCGGCAGCTGCGCTTCGTGGCTAATTCGAGCCCAGCAAGACCAGTTACGGACCAAATGCCAGCCAACTACTGGCTGGAAATTAGCCCCAAGGCCAAGTGGCCGTGATTTTTCTGATTTTTCTGTATTTTCCAGCCAGCACTTCAATTGTCGTGTGTCAATTGCAGCGAATCAATGAGCAGGCACTTGTGTGTTCGAAACAATTGCAATTGCAGCTCCTTAAGTGTAACAAGCAGATCTTCAGTTAGATATGGCTTGTCTTCGCCCTCTTTTTTTGCTGTTTTCTTATTTTTTTTCCACCTATCTGGCCAAGATTGTGGTGGCATTGACTCGAAAAAGGCAGTCATTGTCGTGCTTGTTGTCTTTAAGGTAATGAACTTTAACGAGTTTTCAATTGCCAGTGCCGATCTTTTCTAATTGGAATTAATGCGACTCTACTTAAGGGCACAGGCATTCCGAACTGCCATCCGACGCCCTTGCATCTGCCACGCGGGAATACGTCGCGTATGCGCAATCTGAGAGCTTACTGCTCGGTCGACACATGCAACTCGGTGCAAGCTGGTGTTGCAGTTGCAAATTATGACACTTTTTGATTTATGCGGCAACTGCCAAAATCACGCCACAAGGCAAACACACAGCCAGCATCATCAGTCACAGCACAGTGGCACAAAAAATGCTGCGGGTAACAGTTTAAGACACTTTAAATAAATAAAAATGTCAAACTAGATATTTATCAAAATATTATTAATTTGACCACCGGCAATTATAAATGTATATCAAGAACTAAGACAGCGAAAATTAATCTTTGGTTACAAAAAAGAAAAAAATAATTTAAAATATATAAAACAATTTAATCACTTTACATGTTACCTTTTTGAATGGAGAAAAATCTAAAGAATATACTTCCTATTTACATAAGCCCTCCTTTAAATAACAACCATTTTTCTCAGTGCATGGATTGTGCAAATCTTCTATTTCTGGCATCATTTCCACTGTGATTGCCTCAATACGTAGGCGCTGCTGCCTTGCCCATTTGTTTTTCTATTTATTTAAGCTCTGCACGTGCACCGGCAAGATACTTTAACTGCAACTGCAAGTGGCAAGTTGCAACAGAGCATATGGAAATGAGTTTTCGTATGGATTGGCTTCGCTTAGAGATATTCACACGCCGCCATCAGCACATAAATCCCCCTCTTGCCGCCAATCGAACCTGGTTAATGGTTAATGGCCAGTGCAACGTTTCAATTGCGGCTACAGACTCCGTGTTAATCAGCGTCATATGCGGCGATTTGCGGATAAAAGTGAATTTAAGCCGTTTTCCGCTCCTTGGGCTATGAAAACACTGGAAAAAATCAATATAATATTATA